GTATTCCCCTGCGCAGACCAACTTGATAAAGGTGCAATGCGCAAGGTCCCACAGGAAAATATTGTCTGCTTCTTGGGGACCCTTAGTAAAGTCGGGCGAAAATGATACAACTCCATGTCGTCGCATATCATTCCAAATGATTGAGAGTGTGGCGGGCATTGCTTCCCTGTGACCAGGGCCATCAGGATAAGGGAAGGCGGGGTCGGCATCTTCCATCAAAGATGGGCTAGAACTCATGACATTGTCGTCAACATCTATCGGATCCGGGTTCCACTGAGCCTTCTCGAGGTCCGTCGCTGGAGGTGGGAATTGATTAAAGTCCATATACCTACCAAAAATTGTTTTGACGTGCATCCAAACTCAAGCCTGTATAAGACAGCTTTCAATATCCTATGTATTCTTATGTATGGCTACGTATGACTACTACTTACCAAGACAGCCAAATCTCAGCATTGTCCTGTGGGGCAACTGGGCCCAGCTTGGCCAGTTTCTGGGTGGAGAGCTGCCAGGTTGGCCCTCTCAAGACAATCTGTGAGACGATCAGTCACCCGCGCCATCTTGGTTAAAACTCTTTCGCCAACCCATCCGCCTGCAGCTGAGGGACCAGCCCTGGAATTGTATGTGTGATTGGCTTCATTCGAAGGTCCAGGGTCAGGTGACCACTGATCAGGCAAGGAGTTCCTCCAAACTTCAACTCCACGAGCTGAAGGATGAGCATTGGGGTAGTCGAGATTGTCATGGAATGACGGTCGGATTGAGAGACTGTTGGGCAAGACTCGTTGTTTTCTTTGTCTTTGACGGGCCAATTGTGCTGCAGTTGGGATGCGGGATGGACAGGCGGGCATCGGTGAGGGTTGACACTGTCGTTTGGTACGGGTACCTGGTGGGCTTGAAGAAGGGTCTTCTGGTTGCTTTCGTTTTCTAAGAGGACCTGGGGAGAAATGGACACCATGGCTGGGTAGAGCAGGGGGGCTGGACTGTGGATGTTCCAGTGGATTAGAATATCTTGCGGAAATATCAGCTGGATCTTGGTCATGAAATGATGGACGGGGGGCATGGTTATTCTGTTGGGCGATTGGTGCTCTAGGATGACGTCGGGTGGGGCGTTTAGGGAGCCTAGGCTGGGATGTTTCAGAAGCGGGAGATGCATCGGGAGCACGGCGACTTTGAGTGGATTGGACTGACCCTGGAGAGAAATCCGCAGGTCTGCTTCTCTTACTTTGAGGTCTGACCTGAGGGGTTGACGAGTGATTGGGCTCCTCCGGTTAAGGTACAATGTCGCTATGCAAAGACGGATGCACAGCATAGCTATTTCCATGGCGAGGGGTTTGTGGTCTACGACTATGTGGGGTGGGGGCATGGCAAGGGTTGGGGGGCTGGAAATTGCTACTGGGACCAGGGCAGGGGTGTTTTACATGAGTTGAGTCTTCAGCCAGTGGGTGTCGGTGCTTTCTCTTCTTCGAATCATCAGGAAGGACGGGAATAAAGTTTATAGGTTGGCCGCCAGCATTAGTAGATGGACGAGTCAGCCTGCGACTTCTGCTGTGCTGTGATCAACGTCTCCCTTGTCTCTTGGAGGCCTGAGCTTGACCCTTGCCTTTCTTTGGGCACTTCTGCCGGGAATTATCGGTTGGAAAATTTATCAAATTTCTCGACTTGATGGTAGCTGCACAAGTGGAGGCTCGGGTAGAACGGGTGCTGACCAACGTAATTGAAGCTGAAGTGACTGAGGGCTCTGTATACACTTCTGAGGGTGTGTGACTTGATGAAGAAGCTGAAGTTGAGGAGGCAATAGGGTGGGACAGATGAGTGGGGGGGCTTGAAGCACTGATGGGTGGACTGGACGGGCGAATGAGGGGACTTGATGGTCCGATGTCACAACTGCAATTAGCAACTGGCCTGATGTAGACGAAGCCAACCTCCTCTGAGTCACTGCTTGGTAAAGCCTGATGGCGCCTGCGTGATTGTCTGCGGCGGGGCCTGAAGCGGGTCACAGGATCCGAATGGTGCTTCCGGCGGCGTTTGCTTGGCCGTTGGGCGTCTAATAAAAGAAGTGGCAAGGATTTAGAATGAAGAGCAAGAAAAAAAAAAAAAAAAAAAAAAAAAAAAAAAAAAAAAAAAAAAAAAAAAAACATAAAGTATAAAGCATAAAGCATAGAACTGACTGGTCTCTTCGTACCTGCGCTTGTTACTTCCCACAGATCGTGGTGAAGCGTTGGATTCAACTTGGCTTGAAGCTTTGGATTCTACTTGGCTACTAGGGGCACGGGAAGCAGCTTGGGGAAGACTGGAGTCAGCTGGACTACTGGCAGGGCTGGAGGCAGCTGGGTTTCTGGGAGGTATGGGGTCGGCTCGGTCACTGGAAGAGATGGGGGCAGTTTGACTACTAGGAGGGCTGGGGGCAGCTTGGCTACTAGTATGGGGTGAGTCAGGGTGATTATCTGAATGGCTGGGGTCATTTTGACTGCTGCTGGAGGCACCATGGTCTGCGCCCACATTCAACTCAGAAGACAAGTCCAACAAGGATGCTTTGGAGGACTTGGGGTCTGGGGAATGTGTTGGATTGGTTTTGGCAGATGACTCGGTATCTGGGTGGGAGGACTCGGTATCTGGGTCAGAGGACTTGGTATCTGAGGAGGACTGTGAGTCGGGCTCCCGGAAATCAGAGGAAGAGGGCAAGGGGTTGCCCTGTGTGTAAGGTCCATGGTCTTGTGTTTGTGTTTCGGAAGGACTTGCTGCTTGTTTGCTGTCTTGGGATGCCAGCCGGGCGGATCGTCGGAGGGAATGACCATCGGATGATTCTGACACTTGAGATAAGGAGCGCCCCGCGGACAATTGTGAGGCTTGAGATAAGGAGTGCCTGCGCCCAGCGGATGATCTAGGTTCCCAAAAATCAGAGGAGGAGGGCAAGGGGTTGCCCTGGGTGTAAGGTCCATGGTCTTGTGTCTGTGTTTTGGAAGCCCTTGGTGCTTGTTTGCTGTCTTGGGATGCCAGCCAGGCGGATCGTTGGAGGGAATAACCATTGGATGATTCTGAAACTTGAGATAAAGAGTGCCCCACGGACAATTGTGAGGCTTGAGATAAAGAGCGCCTGCGCCCTGCGGATGATCTGGGTTGAGATGAGGAGTGCCCACACCTTGCAGAGGATCCAGTCATGTGAGATGTCGAGTGACCAGCACTCAAAGCTTGGGCATATTGACGGGACTGCCAGTCATATGGTGAAAAGAACGCCCAATTGCGGGCTGCGGACTTGGGTTGCCGTGTCTTGCCAACGTGACCTGAACGGGCTTCATGAACTAAGTGAAGGGGTTTTGGGGGCCTTGTTTTAGAAGTGGTTTGGCAGTTGGGCTTCTGCTTCTTGGCTTGGGGATGAGGGGGAATGTTGACATTGACGGTTATGGGGCGGCCTGGGGTGGCTTGGTTGAGATTTTGGACCAGTTCGTCGTATCGTTGGACCAATTGGCCGCGACTGGCCTGGGCTGGGAAATCAACCCCATGGAGAGCCAGGAGTATCTTCAACCTGGGGACTAAAAATTTATCGGCACCTAATAGGAAAGATGGATTAGGCAGAACTCTTGATCTAACGGGCATTAATTGTTTACTGACTTGGTAATGGGACGCTAAGGGATTCAAGGCCGGTCCAACCCTCCACAGACTTGGGTGACTCGATCCGTGCAAGTCGAACGTAGCGCTGAAACAATTGAGTACAACGTTTGCCTTGGTCCAAATTGATTCGAAATGCCGTCAAAGTTTGTCAAAGCTCAGGGATACTGAGATGAGTAGGGTCTGAGGTCATAGCAGGTAATAATCAGAGCTATCCTAATGAGACCTATCCAATTGATCAAGGAGACAAGTAGGAGATGAAGTGCTCACCTGCCCATCGCGAGTCGCAACTTTCTCCAGGGCGCTTCATACTAGACTAATTATATTATATATATACCAGGAGTGAGACACAATTATATGGGGAAAGCAATCAGATTATTAAGGGTAAGAAAGCTGGGGTTGGAAAGAACGGCAGGTTGATGTAAATAGTAATGGGATTATTATTGGGAAGGGAAAATTATTAAGGGTAACTGATCCACTCAGTTATAGGGCCGTTAAGCTGGTGTCAAAAAAATCCGGGACAGCAAGCTTGGGATACAAAGGAGGGGGGGGGATGAAACGAGTACACTAGTGATACAATAACTGGGGGCTGGGGTTGAAGAATAAGTTTTTTGGCGATTGAGTACGGAGTGGAAAGAGAGCCCTGGAGGAAGGAATGGGGAGAAGTAATTAATAGCAGACATGGTCCCACTGACCTTGGATGCATGCCTTCCCAAATTTCTTTGAGTCGGTACTTGCTGAATGGGAGTCGTGGAGCGTGGGTGGTACATCTTTGAGGCGGTACTTGCTGAATGGGAGGGTGTTGTTGACTCTGGGTGGTAAATCTATGTCGGTCTTAGCCATGATTGATTGCCTTTCTTCACGGTACGACTGGTTCTTACTCTTGCTGCTTGGGGATGGGGTGAAAGGTGTCGGCGAGAGGGTAGAAGTTGGAGAAGTTGAAGACGTAAAGGAAAAAAAAGGGTTTTAAGGTCGTATGACGGCATGATTGGGCTTCAAACGCTTCAAACGTCAATAAGCTGTGACCAAACTGTTGGAACATACTCGTCTGTTATTCTTTCACTATGTTGTGAATTTATTTATGGATACACCATAAGCTCTTGGGGATGGGGTGAAAGGTGTCGGCGAGAGGGCTGAAGTTGGAGAAGTTGAAGACGTAAAGGAAAAAAGGGTTTTAAGGTGGGATGACGGCATGATCGGGCTTCAAACGCTTCAAACGTCAATAAGCTGTGACCAAATTGTTGGAACATACTCGTCTGTTTCTCACACAAACGGCTGTTATTCTTTCACTATATTGTAAATTTATTTATGGATACACCATAAGCTTTCCTTGTTCATGGGCCCAACAAGCAAAGACTTTATTGGTATCACCGAGATGGCCGCGGTGATGTGGTCAGACGTGGGTGGATGTTTGCTTGCTGGCCCAGGAAATCAACATTCTAATAAAGTTACAGTTGATCCTGGGCCAGCAAGCAAGCATCCAACCACGTCTGACCACATCACCGCGGCCATCTCTGGCCATCTTGACGGCGGTACCAATTAAAGTCCGTTACATACCACAAAGGCTAACGGAGTATGATGGATGTATGATGGATATCCATCATAACCTCAACTCGGACAAGTGGACATCCAAGTCCTCCTTCACCTTCCTTCACTACTCTAAGTCCCGAACCTTTCCAGTGGCACAGTCCTCTGTCTCTGCTCAAAGTCCCGCCTCTATTCAGTGGCAGCTTTCTGCCGTCATTATCTTTTTTCACTACCCTGTTTGACAAAATCTTCAGGTCCAAGTTTTCATGATCAAATAAAAGCAGGTCACGAAGCAGACAGCTCCGATTGACTTTCAACCTTACAGCTCAGCCAATCACAAAGCTCAGTTGTTAGATTTTATCTATCAGGTCAAACCCCATTCCAAGCTTCCCCCAAAGATCAAGGTTTCCCCATTACGTCATCTAGCCAACAGATGCTTGATCAGACTCAGTGAGCTACGTTTTATCGTTCCCGCATGTGTGCAAAATTTCTGATCATGAATATCATCTGCCCCTTGTGGCTTTAGAGGCACGCGAGGCGGATGCTATAGATGCTGCCCCTACCCCAAGCCCGTCTTCATCCATCACAAGCCTGTCTGACCCTCCCACCGCCAAGCCTTCCCCCACTCCTTCCCCTGAATCACAAGCACGAACTCCAAAGCGCCAAGCAGCCTCAAGAAAAACTGCCACACCCTTGCCTTCACGAGCAAGAGCGGCTTAATCACTAGCAAAGGCAGCTCAAACCCCAACCACTTCCAGAAAAAATCAACCACCAGAAAGAGCTAAATCACCCGTGAAAATCAGGTCGACTTGATCACCAGAAAGAACCAAAACCACTTCATCGCCAGCCATAATTAAATCTACTCGATCGCCATCAAAAGCTAGTCACTCAGTAAGAGTCGCACAATCACCGGCCAGAACCCCATCAACTCATAAGCACCATGTTGCCAGGGAATCCACTGCTTTCACCACCGAATCTAGTGAGTCGCCTTCCCCCAAGCGACCTTCAACGTCTCGCGGACGATCTTCGACCAGAACCACCACCTTCAAGCGCAACAAGACTCACGGTAACAAGTTGCCTTCCCCTAAGCGACCTTTAAATTCTCGCAGACGACCATCGACCAGAACCGCCACCTTCAAGCGTAACACTCACCGGGAGCCTGAGTCACCCTCTCCTAAGCAAACATCTCGAGGTAGATCGCCAGCTAAAACGTCCAAGCGCAAAGCTTCAGCCACATCCATCTCCCCCTCTCCAAGGCGGGCATCCAATGCCAGAACATCAATCAACAAAAAAAAAAATTCCAATCACCCCCGGCTCATAGACAAGTATCATTTACAAAATCACAACCCTCAAGATATAAAAAAAGCTACAAAGAAGCCAAGGATCCGGAAAAGTCTTCATCCCAAGGTTCATCGACATCTGAAAGGTCCACAGGAGATTCCTTCAACTTGTCACACTTGACGGACTTGAGCAACACTGATTCAGAGCTGGATGATCGAGCAACTTCAAGAAATAGGACCACTAGGAAAGGCAAGGAGGTTTGCCCCCGGGCAAGATACAGCAACAGGTCTTCACAATCAGCCCTCACACTTAAGAATGTAAGGTCTTCCTCGATGTTTCTTTCCCCATGCAGATAACTTACGTTGTTCCTGAAACAGACTTCCAAGAACCGAGTCATCAACGCCGAGTCTGCTAACGACAACTGGTTTGATGATGGATGTCGATATTACACACGCTCTGGCCGCCACCCACCTCCACGACCCCCCTCACCCAATATTGATGACTTGGGTTACGTCGAAGAGGGACGGCCAGATCCCAATTCATATGTCCGCCCAAAGATATCCCCCTTCTTCGAGCTGCCCCCGGATTTCAATCGGCATCAAGATCTCCCACCACCGCCTCATCATCCATATGACCCGTGCCCTAAACGTAGGAGGTATGTCCAGCTCCAAGGGGCAAACCAAACATTTGCAACCCCAGGATTTGATCTTGGTCGAAATAATGGAAGATCACAGGCTTCTGAATCCCGGTTCACCCCTGCATCCATTCCCTTTGGTCCGACTGCTCCTGAAACCCAGATCCCCAGCGCCTCCCCCTCCCCGTACTATCCTTACTCCAGTCAATCCAATACAGCACCAAGCTACGGATATCCCACCAGATCTCAATCACAGGCGCAGTACCTGGCTCATGAACCCATCAAGTCTCACTTTGGCCAAGCAAATTCAGCCCCATCCTATGGGTACCCGCAATGGACGTCAGCCTATCCTTCTAGCACCTCCTAGCTTAATGGGGCCCCTGCCTTTGGATGTCAGCCGTCGTCTAATCATTTTGATTATACACCTCGCCATACAGACCACGTGGGTTTTTGTTTTTCATCTCTATTACATCTCTTTCCATCTCTTTCCATCTCTAAACGTCAACTAGGTGGCTAAGTAGTATGATTATCTAGAAAAGCACCCCAAGTGGATATTCACATCCGACACCATCCGCCGGCCCAAAACCAACAGTCCAACCTGGCCCAAAGCCATATGATTACTCAAGCTACTGGAACCCCAGCAGTCAATCTTACCTGACACAAAAATCCAGCCAGCCTCCGACATTGTCTTCATCGGCACCAACTTCCTCTGCACCGGCATCATCATCTGTGCCAGAATTCAACTTCTGCCCTTCAGCCACAAGTCAACCCAACACACAAAACCAGGCGCCCACTACATCTTCCCACAACCAACCGCCAAATCCATCGTCCTACAACCAGCCGCTCAATCCATCATCCCACAACCAGCCGCCCAACAAATGTGCCCCAACCCAGCCTCCTCATCAATCCTCTCACAATCAGGCGCCCAATGAATTCTCCCAACAGATCCCGTCCAATCATTTTGGGCAATCTTTGTTTCCAACCGCAGCTAATCTTCCAAGTTGATTTGGGCAGTCTTTGTTGCCCACTCCCCATCCAAATTTCTCGATCACCACTGCAAATCCACCTGACGGTAGCACTGCAAAATTCTGGCCTAGTCAACCGTCGCAAAATCAATTTGGTGCATCATTGTTCCCACCGCCACCACCCAAAAGTAGAACTGTGAAACCCTTGTTTGGACAATCATCATTCTCAATTCCAGGACAATCATCATTCTCAACTTCAGGACAATCATCATTCTCATCTGCAGGACAATCATCATTCCCAACTGCAACTTCCGCCATCAAACCAAATGAGGAGCCCACAGCCAACAACCCGTTCATGCACAATGTCCCGTCCTTTTGGGATCACACAGCCGCACCACCACCGCCACCACCCAAGTCTACCTTGACATCTACGTCCAACAACCTCTGTGGTTTAAAACCTGCCTTGAAACCCAATCAAAACTCAGGTCCGACTACGTCAATCTTCAAGCCTCCTCCCCCTGCTTCGCAGCCCATCAAGCCACCTCAACAGTCGAATATTTTTCCTCCTAAGGACCTTGCTTTTCGGGCTGAAAGTAAGTCCGCAAAGACAGTACAATCGCAAGCCTATTCTTCCAACATTCCATCTCCACCCTCATCCCCCACTCTGGCTTCCTCTGGAGCTTCCGGCATGGATGATCTTTGTAATGCGGTATCACGCCTCGACATCTTTCGCCGCCCGATGGCCCCACTCCCCCGCCAAAATGACCCCAGCAAACGTGTCCGCTTTGCTGACAATTATTTATTGAACGCTGCCCCTCAAATACTAGCAGACTTCCTCAGACATCCTGATGATGCTCTGAATCTCGACCCGCAACTCTTATCACTCGCCTCTTCTGTTCCACCACCAGCCCGCCATCCCTTTTCTGCTAATCCACCACCGCCCCCATCGACAGCCATTTCATCTGCACCTTTGAACCCAGGCCCATCACAGTCACTGGCATCTCACCCTGCCGCACCCAACCCAGTCTTTCATCCTGCTGCACCCAACCCAGGCACAACACAATCGGCACCCAACCCAGGCACAACACAATCAGCACCCAACCCAGGCACATCACAGTTACAGACGTCCAACCCTGCCACACCCAATACAGGCTCATCACAGTCATCTCACCCTGCTGCACCCAACCCAGCTGTTCCAAATCCAGACGCATCACACTCGCAGGTTCACCCTTCAGCCGCCTCAACCACCAACCCATCCATCCCCCCATGCACCCCCACATCCACTCCCATCCCCATCCCGCCCACCCCCAAACCCAATCCAGCTAAAATAACGTCCAGCCCAGTAACACCCACAGGCCAAATCAAATAACTCAGCTTGTCTTGATTATTTTCCAAGGCATTTTGCCATTTTTTATTTATTTCTGCTTTCATGTTTTATTTCTAAATGTCCATGTAAATAGTCTTTTCAATCAAATGTGAATAATGTGAATAGTATTTTATGTGTGATGGGACTCAGCTCAGAAGAAAAGAAAAAGTGTATTTTTGCACAAGAAAATACAATCAGAAAAAAAAATCAGGAGAAAAAGATACATGTTGGCAGGCACGTCAAGGCAAGGGCTTGGCACGTTGGGGAAAGGCTTCATGTTGAGCCAATGCTGAAGTAGCAGGACTTGTCTTCTTTCTTTCGAGGATGTATTTCCCCAGACCCCAGAGGTCTGCTTTGCATCCAAGCGGGCCCTTGTCCAGCCAATCTCCCCTGCTCGCTGTAGTTGAATACATAATGAATAATCAAGGCCGTCTTACCACCGTTGAATAGATAAAAGCCGTCTTACCACCTGTTGGCCGGCCTCTTACCATATGTAGCCAGCACAAGCTGACCGTTTTCTGTCTGTTGTGGAGTATGGACACTCCAAACCTGGAGTATCCAGGTATTATCCAGGTATAAGAGGATGATTTTCTGCTCTCATCCATTCTGACCTCAATGCTCTCTTCCCCTTTCCCTCACCAAGCCGCCACACGTTGTACATCTATCCAACTCCACTGCCCCACATTGTACATCTATCCAACCCTAAGCCGC